TATACGTATAATAATACGTATAATTATACGTATAATTATACGTATTATTATACGTGTTTTTTTCAATAGGGCAGTGTTGTTGGGCCAACGTTGGTCGGCTTCGCTTGCTGCCTTACATAAACGCATTTAAAGCGATGGTTAAAGTCGTCTCCAGTTGTTTTTCAGCAAAACAATCTGGAAAGATTTAGATCAAAACATAATGGAGTTTAAGAGAATGTTTAAAGCTATTGAATTTTCAACAACACTGAAAATTCACGTGATTTAGGTACACCTTCAAGATTGTCTTCGTTTTCTTCATGGTGATGGGCTGGGCATTTGGTCAGAACAATCAGGTGAATCCATACATTTTGAATTTTTAGTGCATTGGAATAAATATAAGGTAAATGCTAAAAACCACCCGTCATATGCACTTAAATTGAAGAAAGCTGAAACAGTTATTTATAAATATTCCTCTTATTGTTACTTCAGTAAATTTCTAGAGAATTGTTCAATATTTTTCATGAATAGACTATTCAATAAATTGAATGGTATATCATACATTTAAAAATTCAAGTAATACTTGTAAATTTATTGTAAACAGAAAAATATAATAATAATTATAAAAAGGATTATATATATATGGGTGAATATCTCGAAAAGAACAAATGCTGAACTAAGAAAAAAAAGTCTAAACCACTGTTATGACTATTGCTATGTGAAGGGAAGGACCTAAATAAGTCTCTAAAATACGTTGTTACGATCTTTATAAACATTGTTTCAAAAATAATTGTTTAATATTTTGTCACCGATATAATGACTGAATCCGTTAAACTCTTGTTACTCGAAGGTTTTTGGGGTCGCTGAACACGAATCCGGTGTTAGTTTTTCAAAATTCAAAATGGCGGATCCAATATGGCGGACGACAATTTCCAAAATCAATCCAATTTACTTGAAAATGGTTATTCTGTGGTTTTTAGGGTCGCTGATTACGAATTTAAGGTCCGTTTTTAAAAATTCAAAATGGCGGGTCCAATGTTGCGGACGACAGTTTTGAAAAATCCATCCAATTTTCCAAAAATAGTTACTTAAGGAGTTTTGGGGTCGTTGAATACGAATCTGGAATCAATTTTAAAAAATTGAAAATGACTGATACAAAATGACGGACGACTATGTTTTAAATCTATTTAATTGGCCTCAAAATCGTTAATTAGAGGTTTTCAAAGTCGGTGAACACAAATTTGAAGGTAACACGAGTAACCATTTTCAAATAAATTGGATGTATTTTTAAATTTGTCGTCCGCCATATTGGATCCGCCATTTTGAATTTTTGAAAAAGGACTTAAAATTCGTAATCAGCAGACGTAAATCTTGAAGGAACCATATTACTTTCACGTGGGGTACTTTCTAGAATTTACCCCCTAGACGACGGTACGGACGGATACTAGGGTCGTGCACGCTAGGTCGATTATTATTCGTAATCGGGAAGAAGCTAGATATTGGATTCGGTTCCAATATTCATGCCCGACGCGAATCTAGTGCAAAGTAATATTCATTAGGTGTCTCGTCCACCCGAGAAGCGCCTCGAGATGGGGAATCGACCTAGTGCATCATCTTTGTCAAGAGAGGGGCGCCTCTACTCGATAAGAATGGTCCTGGTGGATGTGTGTAACCTGGTTCACCAGTCTTCCACGGACGCACCCATAGGAAGTCCGGTTCACCAGGTGGAAGGAAGGCGAAGGGTGTTACTGTTCCGCAGGAACCCCTACAGGAACAAGTACAGCTCCTTCTGGGAAGTGAGTGAGGGTCACCCGACTAGTAATTTTTTTACCCACCGAACAAATCCTCTAGGTAAATTTTCAAGTGTACTTTTGTGAACCGTTCTAAAGTCACCCGGGGAAGGAGTGGGGATCACTCGACGAGTAAATTTTTCACCCATCGAAAATAGGTAGGTGGATACGAGTGAAACTTTAAAATTGGCGATAAATTTGCGTCGTCTGCCATTTTGTACGTATGTTCAGCGTTTTCTTTGCTCTTCGATCAAAACTTGATAAAAATATTAAATTTTATTGGAAGACGATTCCGAAAGACACATGGTTTTATTTGAAAGCAATTCGAATGTGGCTGTAGTGAATAAAAACGGAAATTTATTGGCCTACGATTCAAAATGTAAGTTATATTACATAAATTTCTAATCAAATAATGGACCTAACATTAACAAATCATTTAAAAAACGATAATTAGTAAATAATATTTCAATGTATTTACTGATAATTACACAGGCACACAAAAAATAAAAAGCTGTTTGGCTGTATTTTTCACGCTGAATCCGAATCCGAAGTCAGAATTATCAGATTGGCTTTTATTTTTAAGCTAAACTCAAAAAACTGCTCAGAAAGAAAAATAAAATCAAAAAGTTAAAAAAATTTTGAATGTCACTGCGATAGTGTAATTCCATGTATTTTTTGTCGCTGAATCCGAATCCAAAGTCAGAATTGTTAGATTCGCTCAAATTTTTGAGATAATTGCAAAAAAACGCAAGTACCAAAAAACTCAAAATACTCAAAATCAGTTTTTTGGAATTATCTTCAAAATTTGAGCCCATCTGTCAATTCTGACTTTGGATTCGGATTCAGCGTGAAGAAATACATGAAAATAGACTAGTGTAGTGTCTCGGCCAAACCACATTTTACTTTTTGTGTGCCTGTGTTATTTAAGCCATTATATTCCCATAAATTATGTGTTTTTCAAGAAAATAATTTTTAAAGATTTTTTTAGGTTAAAAATGTCATTTTGAGGCTCTTGTAATATATAAATAAAAAAATTATTTTATTTCAAAATGTTTAAAATGTTATTGAACATTGTATTATTGTATAAACCTTATGTTCAGATATAAAAATTTCCTATTTAAACTTTTTTAAAATATTAAAATAAAGAAGATTTAAGCAATGAAAATGTCAAATGTTGAGTTTTGCAAGACACAGTTCTACTACAAAAATTTTTATCTATTAAATGTATTTTTTAAAAATGATAATGCTTATAATCTGTTTAAATAGACGTGCATAATTGAAGCTATGTATTTAATTTCATTATTTACAATTATTTAAATTTTTTTCAATATTTGTTACATATTTTAATTTCTTAAATTAGCTTAATTTAAACAACTAAAAGCATAAAAAATTGATAAATATCTCTTACGAATATCTGTGCAGAAAAATAAAAACTATTTTCTTGATAAATAAAGAATTTTTTTCGGTGTGAAAATAATTAAGCAAAATAATACGTTTTTAAGACATTGGTAACAATAAATAATACATACTGAAATATTATATATTAATTTCAGGTTTTTTTTAATTAGCCATCCACTTAGTGCAGACGATTATTTCTGTAATTATTGCTGGAACTTGTATATTTGATTACATTATATATAAATTTTATTTTTTAGTACAATGCGTAATTGAAGTTTACGAAAGTGTTGTCCTCGAAAAACAACCAAACTGTTCCATCGGAAGCAAAAATGTAGAAGGTAGAAATATATATTTTATGCAAATTGCAAGCTTAGTTTAAGAACATTTCTTCATAGTACATTTAATCTGTTCTATTATTTCATATCATTTCATTTATTGAAGTTATTTTTAATTTCCGGATAAACATATTTTTTCTTCAACTTCAGAAAAAGAAGACCATAGGAAAGCAAATCACAAAGTTGTAACTAATTTCAATGGTATATTTAGAAACAGTCTTTGTTTATTAATGTTAAAACTTGTTTTGTGTTGATAAGTTTACACATGGCGTTGTATTCAAATAGCATGAAACATTGGTTAAATAATATCACTTCAAATCTTTATTTTTAAATTTTTGTATAAAATTTTAATTACAAAATTTTACATCGTGTTTATAATTAATTAAAGAAGGCTTATTTTAATATTATAACATTTTTGCAAAAGGTTCTCTTAAAAAATGGGGTAACGATAACGCCGTAATCATGCTACATTGCTACTTTAAAAATAGCTTACTATTATATACCTTAATACAACTATAACATTTTAAACTATTTGGAGCAATACTGATAATAGTACTTTTTGGTAGTTTTATTTTGTACTTTGTACTAATGATTAAAGCTATCACTTAAACAAATTTACTATTTCTTTTAACATAACTCATAAACTATAAGGCTACTGACTCGTGAAGAACTGAAATCTGAGTCACTAATACTCACTTATAATTAAAAATACTAATTAAAGTTTTTCTAACAGCCGAGAAAAAAACACGTTATTTGCTTTGACTATTGATTTGAGCAGCTCCTTATTTTCTTCATATCGGATTCTCTGCCCCTCTCTCTTCGCGACATTTTCCACCCTCATTATCTCCGCCCAAGCCTTATTTCTTTATCAACTTTTGTTAGTTTTTTCTTTGGTGGTTTTGATGTTGATGGTTCCTCATCGGTCACATCTTCATCGGAGTCAAAATTTGTTTTGTGTCGCTTTCTGTTTGAAGCCAAAGACACAGGCTTAACATTTGGCTTTTGGTCGAAGAGTTCAGCTTTTATGTTAAGGTATATAATTGTAAGCAATGTTCAAAATTTACCGTAAGGAATATTATCAAGTTATAGCACATACATTTATCTTCATATTTTTGTGCGTTCATATATATTTCCATATAAAGGTAATGTCTTCATGTCATAAACTGTGATTAACTTTGAACTTATTGTGATGTTAGTTATATGCAAAGTATATAATATATTATATCCAAGAGTTACAGATAACTATACTTCCTTCAAATTATATTTTATAGAAAACTGAAATATTTTTATAAAAGTTGTTATATTTGTAATAAATCAAACTATATAAACATTTTCCATAATTTAATTTGAAAATTTTCTATTGCTTATATTTCTTAACATTGTTTTTAATAATTGAGAAATAATGTTACAGTAAGAAATGTTCTATTTTCTTGAATATTCGTTTCTTAAAAACGTCGTGCACTTAACCATAATTCTACATTTTGTTTATGAGATGCTTCAGTTATAAGCATGCAGCAATATAATCTCTCTTTGTCATTCCCTCTGCTTCTGCTCTATTATTCACTTCCATAGGTTTCTCCGGTTCATTGACTTCAATTTCGGCACCTTCCCTAATATAATCTCCAATGTCCTCATCAATACTTCTTAAGCAAATATTATGCAGTACACAACATGATATAATTGTGTGAGGCATTAAGTCCATGCGGTCCATATCGAAATATTTCAATCTTGGAAAGCGTCCTTTTAAAAGAGCAAATGCTCTTTTAATAACCTGCCTAGTTTTAGATAAAATTGTGTTGAAATTATTACGAACACGCTCCTGATCCTGGAAATAAAGTAAGATAATATGCTTCGTAGGATTGATTAATTAATATTAAATTGCTTTATTTCAGTGTCATTTTTAACTTACTGGTGTAAGATTTACACGATTTAAATAAGGAGGTATACACCATGGCAAAACTGGATACGTTTTATCCCCAATTACATACTCGTCGTTTGGAAATAAAGCTTCCCGGTTGACATCAACGTCTTTGTACAAATCAGAATTTCTGAAAACTCTCAAGTCTCCAATTGAACCAGGGTATCCAGCAAAACAATCAGTAAACACAAGATCTCTATCACACACAGCTTGTAAAATAAGTGCATGAAATCTCTTTCGACATACATAATACTGAGCATCAATCTAAAAATATCATAATTTTAAAATAAACGTCAAATTAATTGGTATAAATAACATATTTGCAACAAAAAATATACGTATGAATGTCAGGTATTCAATTCGGTCCCGATATTATATGCGTATATTATTACTGCTACTTACTTCTGGTGCTTTTATTAGAATGAGTGATGCATCAATTGCTCCAATAACATCGCTCAATCCTGCCATACGTCTAAATTTTTTTTCCACATTCATTAGGTTTTCTCCTGCAGGCCAACTTATAACATTTGGAGCTATTTCATTTAAAACATTAACAACTGTAATGAAACATGCATGCAACGATGATTTGGCTAAGTCAAATCTTTGGGCCACTGATCTAAAATAATATACAATTACAATAAACAATTTATAATAGTTAAATGTAATATCTTCTTTCTAATTATTAACAAAATAACACATGAAATTAATAATATTTATACCTATATGAATCAGGTGTTGCTAACAACCATATCACTGAAAGCAATTGCTTTTGAACACAAACTGATGAACTTGACAACTTTTCTCCTCCCACATTTTCCAAGCTATAAAAAGCATGCGGGTTCATTCTAAAATGTTCTTTGAATTGCTTCGTATTAAATCTTGGAACTAACTTTTTTTGATTTTCTTCCATTTTCACACAAAACTGTCAACAACTGACAACAAAAAACATAACCTATAATCTTAAGGTTCCGCTTTCTAAAAAAATATATCACAAAAAGTTTGAATTGAAAATAATTCAAAGAAGTATCGAAATAAGTATTAGGGATGGAGCTGTTGATTTAATGCAAATAATAAAGGTGTGTTTCCATTATTTAGTTGCATTTTAATTTAATATATATAAATGTGAATAAAAAATAAATTTTTTAATTAAAAGCTATATTAATTTAATGTATCAATAAAAATTAATTTATTTCTAATTAAGAAGATTTTATGCTTTTTAATAGAAGAAACCTTTTTAAATGGAAAAAGAAAGAAAACGGAAAATAGAATGACATCCCAAGTAATATTTAAATGTCCACCTCGGTAATATTATCCGATATAATTACAGTAATATTACAAAAAACACTTAAAAATATTTGATTGATTAATTATTATCTTTTTCTGTTTTATCATAAAATACTTTGAAATTTTTATGTATTTTAAAAAAACGTTTAATATTACTGTAGTATTAGAGTAATATTACTGTAATGTTTTTGTAATATTAGAGTAATATTACTGTAACGTTTCTGTAATATTAGAGTCATATTAACCAGTAATATTACCATGAGGCGGACATTTTAATATTACTGTAATATTACGTGCAATTGGGAATATCAACAAAATAATATGCTCGTCATATATAATTAAATTTAGAGTTTTTATAAGTAGAAAATTAAAAAAATATATTTAATAGAAAAATATATAATTAAAAACAGAGCAGCAACGAATTCGAACGCGTATTGGTCGACTCGGTCCTAGTTCTTTTAATTTTTCACCTATGCGCCGTTCACACATACTTAACACTCTTCCTTCACTTTCATAAGCTCCACACACTTTCTAGAGTCACTCGTCAGATACACCCGGGTGGAATTTCGAACACACCCTAGACGAGTGGCGGGAAGAGAGTGACACTACTAGTTACGCTGTCTACTTTCTCTCTTTTCGCCGGACGACTATACTACGATACTCTGTCGTTACAATTATTAATAATATTTATCATTTATTTACCAAAAAACTGAATTTACAGTGGTCACAGAGGAGAGTTTTTTTGTGTCGACGAACACTGCGAATCTGAAAATCTTTGTGACACATATTATCTTCATTTCTTTCATGATGTTGTGTACTGACCAAAGAACATCGTCACTGTAAACACTTTTGAATTCTTCATTTCTCAATTATCATTTTTTTTTCATTTACTCATTATATTTGTAACCGGTCACGGAGGAGAATTTACTTTGCGATCAAAACTAATTTAATTCTAGGAAAAAATATTTTACAAATATTCTGTTTTACGCTTTATAAATGAATTACAAATAATGTAATTAGTAGATGTTACTAGACAAAAGATGTTTTCATATTGCAGTATGAATGCAATAATTTTTCTTTAAATAAAACTTATTTCGCGAACGGTAACGGAGGGGAGTTTTTACACTATACATATAAACATGATCATATTCAATTATTTGAAATTTTCAATTTCTTTTTTATGAAATCTAATTAAATCCTGTTGACTTCTATAGTTAGACCGGCAACATTTTCTATTATTATAATTATTTATTAAAAATAATGATATGAACGTGTCATTTGTCCTTTTTGTGAGAATGACTCATAAATATTAAAATAAATCTTATAAGGACATCTCGTAAGAAGAATCTCATTAATGTCCATATAGGATTCCATATGGGGTCGAAATTTGAAAAATAAAATTTGTGAATATCTCAAAAACGGTAAGAGATACGCAAAATCAGACAAAATTTTTAGTTTATTTTATACAAAGCAAAAATATTTTATGTTTAAAACCTAAAATATGTCTCATATTTTTTTTTAATTACTACTACATATTCTCATATGGGATCATACGTGAAATCTCATATAGAATTCTATATGGACACATATAAGATTTTTCTCATGAGTTTCCATATAAGATTCTCGTAAGATCTTAAGTACCCAGTAAAAAATAAAAAATACAAGAACGTCGGATTGCGGTTACAAGCTCAATAGCTGGTAAACGAATCCATGAGAATCTCGGATACAAGCACTTTTCGGTATCCGAAATGATAATAAGCTTGTAAACGCACTGAAACGGACGACTTTTGTAGGTCTTTTAATCAAGAAAAAACAATTAAATGGATGCGGAAACGATGGAAAATTAAATTAGAAGCAAAAATAAATAATTATTTTTTAAAGAAACGTACATTTAAACAAAAAACAATTATTCTTATTAATTCTAACCTCTGCATTAAAAACATTGTAAAATCAGTGTTTTGTTGGTAATTTTATGTTGCTATTCGGAAAATATGGTTTTCTACCTTACCAACGTTGAATATTAATTTAACGAGGGTTTTTTTTCGAATTTTCTATTTTAATGCAATTTAAAATGATTTAATTAAAAGGGGGAAAGGAAATTAAAAATGAGCACCGTTTTATGTTTAATAATATTTTGATTATTATGAATTGCTTCTGAAATTGGAAAATCGAAAAACCCACGTTAAATTAATATCCAATATCGGTAAGGTAAAATTACCAACAAAACACTGTTTTTACAATGTTTTTAATGCAGAGGTTAGAATTAGTAAGAATAATTGTTTTTTGTTTAAATGTACGTTTCTTTAAAAAATAATTATTTATTTTTGCTTCTAATTTAATTTTCCATCGTTTCTGCATTCATTTAATTGTTTTTTCTTGATTAAAAGACCTACAAAAGTCGTCCATTTCAGTGCGTTTACAAGCTTATGATCATTTCGGATACCGAAAAGTGCTTGTATCCGAGATTCTCATGGATTCGTTTACCAGCTATTGAGCTTGTAACCGCAATCCGCCGTTCTTGTATCTTTTATTTTTTACTGGGTAGTATCTCATATGAGAAATCATAAGTGATCTTACGCGGAACTCATACGTGAATTTACAATAGGGTGTTCATTATATTTTAGAAAACTGTTTGTTAAGGGGCTATACGAGTGTGACACTTTCAAAAATCAATTTTTTTGGCTTATTTGATAGTTTAGACTTTCAAAAATATCCTGTGAAAGAGGCAAGGTCGTATCTTGTATAGTTTTTGAATGGCGGCGTTCTAAGGAGCCATCCATAAACTACGTTTCCAATTTTTCATTCTTTTTAGACCCCCCTCGTTAGCATTGTGTTAAATGCATTTTTTTAGACTTTTGACCCCCTTTCCCCAAAATAGGTAACGTAGTTTATGGACGGCCCTTAAGGAGCGACCGCTCGCAGGTATAAAACGCTCCACCTGCCTATAGATGGACTTTAAACGCATTTTTTTTGAAACAACATTTTTTAAAATTGCTGACATCATAACTCAACGAGAGATTGACCGATCGACTTCAAATTGAAACCGAGTATTTCTGAATATATTTACTATACAATGACCTACGAACTTTTTGATTGGTTGAAAATTGTCAATTTGGCATTAAAAAAACGACCATTTTTTTACTCCACAAAACGACACTTTTTTCAGAACTACGCCATTTTGTTAACTTTTGATATTTTTCAAAAATCGTAGGTCATTGTAATTTTGTAAAAAAAATCTTAAAATATAGCTGAAAATATACCTTATTATGTCCAAAAACTTTAAAACATTATATAAAGTACTTTCTTTTAAAAAAATTTTCAAAAATCGCCTTATTTTTCATAGATTACACTGGTATAGCCCCTTAAATTTTCTATGACTGTCAAAAAAATGGTTAGACTGATATATATAAAAATTCTTTTTTTTCACAATTATTAGTAATTTCAAAAACTGATTGGCACAGACTGAACACGTTTTCTAGTTGCACAGTTGAATGTCTTTTTACACTTTAGACCTATATATATTTACGAATTATAAAGCGTATAACCTTAACCAACTTTTATATATTTATATATATATATATATATAATATATATGAGGCATTTTACGTGTAATGTCCTAAGTTGAAAAATTGATTTCTCCAAAAAAGTGAAACTTGGGGAAATTGTTGTCCTACCTGATAGTAAAATATCCCCAAAAAAGTTTTTGACTTTTTTGAAATTTTGGGGGAGATAGAGGAGGGTCAATTTTACAAGTCTTCCCTCACACCGCCTCTATTTGAATTTTTTCTGTCTATAAATACAATAAAAAAAATTTTGGCAGATATGTTTTTTGAAGGTTTTTTCATGCTCTTTCCAGTGGTGAATTTCGTTTTTTAAAATTTTTGAATTTTGACCTTGATTTTCTATAATTAAACATAAATTTGCTATTTTCACTAAAATCGGTCCAATTTAAAAAAAAAATTACAAACAAAAGCTGAGGTTTTTTCCGATCTGCATATAAATTTTTAGAATGCCGATTTTTTTTGTTTTCGAGATATGAAATATCAAAGATTTTATGCCGGCTCGCGTGGCGAGACGGACGACTCATACCGCACCGCGATAGCTCTTTTCACTAACGCGCGCTGACATAAAATCTTTGACCTTTAATATCTCGAAAACAAAAAAAATCGTCATTCTGAAAATTTAAATACAGATCAGAAAAAACCTCAGCTTTCATTTGCAATTATTTATTTTAAAAAAATCCATCGATTTTAGTGAAAATAGCAAATTTATGTATAATTATAGAAAATCGAGGTCAAAATTCAAAAATTTTAAATAACAAAATTCACCATAGGAAAGATTGTTTGAGGATATTTCACTATCAGGTAAGAAAACAATTCCCCCAAGTTTCACTTTTTTTCGAGAAATTAATTTTTTAACTTAGGACATTACACGTAAAATGCCTCATATATAGGGGAGGATGGGACAAGGATAGTTAAGGGGTAAGGATACCCTGTTGAAAATTCCTATGTGAGAACACATATGGGATCCCATCCAGGATCTCTTGTGAGTTCTTATGTGGGTTCCCATACAGGTTCACACATAAGATCCTGTATGAAAAGGTTCCTGGGATGAACTTGCGTGAGAGCTCGCGCATGATCTTATGTCTCTGTAAAAGCAATAACACAGGATCCCATGAGGTTTCCTGTGTAGGTTCCTATATGAACAACACGATAAATAGGAACACACATGGGATCTTATCCG